TCTGCCACACCTGCAGGAGGGGTGGAGATGCCAGCTGAGGCCTGGACCCACACCTGCCACCCAGGCGCGGCCGCAGCCCCAAGCCTCACCATGACTGTACAGTCCTCCGAGCCGCTGGCGATGACCTCGTCGTTGTGGGGACACCAATCGATGTCCAGGACGGGTCCCGTGTGTCCGCACACCGTCGGGTAGGCCTTGTCGATGCGGCCCGTCTGCGGGCATGAGAGGGGCGGTCAAGGGTGAGCGGGAAGCGCCTGTTGCCTCTGACCCTGACTCGCTGGCAATAAAAAAAACCTCCATCTGGGCTAACACCTCTTTTAGACAATAAATCTGGGTTATGACACCTGCCCAGCAGTGTGGGCGTGGGCAAGATACGGAAAGTGAGGTGAGCAGAGACCTGGTAGATGTGGCCGAGTCTCCAGTCCTTCCCCCAGCCCTGATGGGGCCCACCTTGCTTAAGGGGAGCACCAGGAAGGCACCCCCACCGCTGGCCTCCACAATCACAGCCAGGAACTTGGGATTGACGGCACAGAAGGTGCTGTCCCAGGTGACACGGGACACTCGAATATCTTCATAGCACTGGTCGTTCTTGACTGGCTGTCCAAACACGTGCCGGAATTTGCTCTGCCGAACCACTTTGCGGAAGGACATGTCTGTAGGATGGAGAGACTTCGATCAGCCCTCACCCATCCCAACAACCCCCAACCCTCCCAGGGCTGCAGGAAGGGAGGCGGGGAGGCTGCAACCCGGTCATGGTAACCCTCTTGGCTTTCAGCTTCCCCAGTTACAGAACGGGGTCACAGGTGCAGCCCCCGGCTGCCACCCACCAAGGGGGCATCTGAGGTGGAGCGGGGGGAGTGCACTGACCCAAGGCCCACACTGCTGAGTCCCGAGGGGCTTTGCAGGACCCTACCCAGGCCCCTCCCTGGCTCTGGTATGTGTGGGGGAGGTGGGAGGTGCCGAAGCCTGGGCAAGCTTAGCTCCTCTGTGGGTCCCAGTCAGTTCCAAGCAGACTCCTTCCTGCCCAGGATTTGGAAGTTGGGTGATGGGGAAAGGTCTCCAGTGTGGAGCCGCGCCAGGCCCCAGTTCTGAGCCCCGGGGAATGTGCAGCGCCTGCAGGAATGTGCAGGGAGCTGCAGGGAGCCCCAGGCCAGTCCAGGGGGCCTGGCAGGACTGGGGGGCAGGGGTCTGGATGCCGCTCCCGGCCGCAGACCATCCCAGGGCGCCCTCGGAGCGGGGTCCAAGGTGAACCGTGGGGGGGCGCGGAGAGGCTGGGCGGCCACAGGGAGTTGGGACTGAGGGTGGAGTGCCGCAGGGGGTAAAGGCTCCTCGGACTCGCGACCCCCCACCCCAGCCTCCCGCGGCTCCGCCCCGCAGCCCCGCCCGGTCCCCCGCCCGCGCCCCCAGCTCCGGCCAGCCGCGCTCACCGGGGACGCCGGGGGCTGCGGCACCGGCCTCGGGCGGCTCCGGATCCCGGCCTCTGGGAAGCAGGAAGCGGGAATCAGGAAGTGACAGAAGAGCCGGGGGCAGGGGGCGGGGGGGGCGGGGCGGGGGCTCGCGGGGGCGGGGCCGAGGTCACGCGCGGAGGGGCGGGGCGGGAGACTGCCAGCGGAGCCCCGGAGGCCCCGAGCGCCGGGGCTAGAGGAGCGCAGGGGCGGCGCCTGGGCGAGCCCCGCCCCTCAGGCGCCCGGGTCCCTCCGGGGCGAAGGGGCAGGGATAGGGGTGGGGGTCGGGCCGGAGGGGCTGTAGGTGGCGGGGTGCAGCCCGCCCGCCGACCGCGGCCCCTTCCCGGTCCTGCTCCTCTGGCGGTGCCCTCGAGAGTACCAGGATTGGGTGGAGCCCGCGGTGCCAAGCCCCCATCCCAGTGCATACTTCCGGGTGCCCCAGTCCACCCCTGACTCCAAAATACAGTATCCAGGCTGACAGTCGATATATTCACGTGTCTCTTTTTAAAGGTTAAAAAAGTACACGCTCGTGATGAACAATGTAAATACAACAGCGGTGTTTTAAGGGGCGCGTGGAAGGCCCAGCCAACTCATTGTTTCCGATGAACACCCCTGGGGCCTGCTGGGCCTCTTTATTAAAAATAGAAATGGGGACATGCCCCCTGCCAGATCCCAGCCTAGTGGTCTGTCCGCAGATGTCTCCCTCCTAGCTAGCTCCTGGACAGGAGCCCAGACTGGCCTCCTCAGATCTACCCCATCCCTGTCTGTGTCCCACCCTGGGGGGACTTGGGTGTCCCTGTAGGTCTGACAGGCAGAATCTGTCCCTTCTGCCTGGGGCTGGTGTCCCTGGGACACTGGCCACCTCCCTCATCTTCCTTGAGGTGATGGTCAGGGTCTCTTTCCCAGAAAAAGAGAGGTAGGGGGGAAGAGGAGAGAAGAGCAAAGCCAGGAGTCTTATCTGGGGCAGCAGGAGGCCCCACTGTGTGTCTCACGCTGGCTGGGGCTTATACCCTATTCACCCCGCTTCCCACTCCCTGATGAGGAAACAGCTCAGAGGGGAAGGGTGCCTGCCCCAGGTCATCCCACCAAGATTTAGCCCCCATCTGTTTGGCTCCAAAGTCCTTGCTTTTTCCTCTGTTCCACACACCCTGGGACAGGCCGGCCCTTCCAAAAAAGGAGAGGAATGAGGGTGCTTTGGAAGAGGGAATGCTGCCACTAAGCCTCTCTCTCCATTGTGCCCTCCAGGCAACAGCCAGGGCTTGTCTAAAGCCCAAACCAGACCCCGTACCCCAAACCCTCCCCTCGGCTCCTCATTGTCATGCTTGAAATAATCCCCACAGTCCTTGTGCCCCGTCCCCCCCATATGTTACCTTCCTCTGTCCTCTCCCTGCATGTGGCCCCGTGACACGGATCCTCCTGTCCCTGAAACAAACCACCTTCTTTCCCACCCCAGGACCTGGGTACGTCCCGTTCTTTCCATCTGGAAACTCTCCCCCCAGCTTGTGAAAAGGCCCCATCCCTCACTTTCTCCAGGTCTCAGACCAACCCCTCACTGATCACTCTCTTGCCCTTACTTGTTCCTCCTGTATCCTTCTTAATCCGTATCTGATGTTCTATTATGTAATTAGTTGTGTGTTTGCATTTTGTCTGCCCCACTTCACTAGAATGTTAGCAAACTGTGGGTGGCACTTTGTCCTGTTTCCCACTGTATCCCCAGCACTTAGAATGAGACTTAGCACACAGCGTGGGGTCAAGTCCCGTACCTGAATGAATGAATGAACAGCAGTCCCGAATGTAGAATTGAAAATGTTCATATTCACAACTCAGAATAAACATACCTCTCAGCTGGAGAAGGGGTGAGTCTCCTAGAAGGCAACAGGAGCCCCCGCCCTCTGGGGTGTTAGGGGTGAGGTAGATGGACTGTGGAATGTCAGGGATGAGCCCTCCCTTCAACCTCTCTGGCCTTGGGTGCGCATGCTTCCTCTAACACAAAACCCTCTTCTGGGGTCACCAGTAGAATTCCTCTTTATCCCACAAAACCCTTCATAGCACTGCTCTTTCTCCTGGATAACAATTCCCCGTTCTGGGTGAGATTTCCCTTCAGGGACCTTGGAGGTGGGGCTAGCCCACTCTCCCAAAGGCTGGGTTTGGAATGGGGACCAGAGTTGAAGGCAGGTGGTGGGCACTTGGGTTTTAGTGTCTGATCTGCCTGTCCTGTTGAAAAAGCTTTGGGACCCCTCTCTGGGAGAAGAGGGAGGAGCGCTGCAGAGTGCCCCAAGGGGGACACCAGTCCAGACCCTGCCTCCAGGGAGTGTGCACCCAAAGGGGTGGGACAGTGGGAAAGCATTTCTTGCAGAACAGGAGGCAGTATGGTGGAGGGGACAATGCCTAGTGGGCAGGATGCTGCCACGTGGGCTCTGGCCCTTGGGTGAGTGTTGGTCCCAGGCCTGGGTGAGGTTTGGGGATGCCCACTGGCATAATTAAATTAATGGTTAATAATTATTCAGCACTTACTCTGTGCCAGGCAAAGGATCCAAGTACTTCATAGATATGAACACTCCTAGGAAATGGGGACCGTTGATATGATCCCCATTTTACAGATGAAGAAACGGAGTCCCAAAGAAGCCAAGAGCCTTGCTGAAGATCACACAGCTGGTGAGTGGTGGAGCTGGGATTCAAAAAACCCCCAAGGGGCACCCGAGGCCATGCCCCTCACCCCACTCATGTGTCCCCACAATGGAGGGTTGGCCGGAAGATTACCTAGCAAGTGCTCAATAAATGAATGAATTCAACAAATTTGTGCCCATTCAGAAATCTCTCTCCGGCAGCCTCAGCATCCACAGTCCCATCAGCAGGAAATGCTAGAATTCTGCCCCCCAGCCCCCGCATTGTCACCATTCAGCGTGTTTCCATCCCCAGGGCCCCGTTCATGACAGCAGCAGCCTTTGCAAGGGGAACTCTACCACCCCATTCCACAGAGGAGAACACCGAAGTGAAGAGGGAGCTAGCAACCAGAGCCCAGGACCTGCACCCTGCACCTCTCCAGACCTGCACCCTGCACCTCTCCAGACCACAGGCCCTGCCCGCTGCCTTTTTCAGACAGAAGCAGCCCTAGAAGGGCCGCACAGAAAGGTCTTTTCATCTACACCTGCTGGTCAGGGCAGCGCTCGGCTACTGGCAGTGGCAAAGGGCCAGGGGTGGGGGGTTGGGGGGCGTTAAAAGGGTGAAGGGCTCATGGTTTTGGAACACAGCGGGGTGACAGAAAGCTGGGTGTTGGGGGCACCAGAAGGAAGCGCTGGTGTGAAAGGGAAGGGGGCAGGGATGAGAACTTCAGCGCTTCCTACTTTTTCTTGCACTGTCTGCAGCTTGAGAGGGAAGAGCGGGGCTCTGCCCGGAGATGCTATGTGACCTCTTGGGGGCCTGTACCCTTTCTGGAGCCACTGGTCCCCAGAGCTCTCTGTTTGGACATCATCCCCTCTCGGCCCCGGGGGCTGAGTGCATAGAAGGGGCTCTGCTGGAGGCGGGACCAGGGCACTCTCTAGACCAAGCGGTGGGGGGGGGGGGGGGGAGGGCAGGTGGACAGTAGTTGAACCCTTGAGTGGAGGGAGCAGACGCTGAAGTCCTCTGGAGCCATCCAAGGCACAGAGTCAGCCCCGTGCTCTCTCAGGCCCCAAACTGGTCGTGGGCACAGCTGATCTGCCCCAAAGCTCACAGGCCCCCACCCGGAGGCCAAGGCTAGGCGCTGCCTCCTCCCGTCCGACTCCAGCCCCTGCAGGGACATCTCTGGATGGGAGCGAGGGAAGCACTTCTGTTTACTGAGGCCCTACTGTGTGCCAGGCTCTAGCCGAGTGCCTCACACGCTTTCTGACTGAACCCTCCCTATGGCGGATGCAACAGCCGCTCAGAGGGTGAAGCGGCTTTTCCGGAGTCACCAGCGCCTGAGTGGAATCCGGGCTTGGTAGCTCTGGCCTCCTCTCCCGCTCCCACTGCCTTGCTGATGGAGGCCCGCCGCCACCGCGGTCTCGCGACCTGCTGGGGGCAGGGGGCCAGGCCAGCCTGTGTGGGCTCCTAGGGCCCCAGGTTCCTGCTGGCTCTTGAATGCCTGCCTTCTCTGCAGGGACTTCCTCCGTTGGCATCCTCGTGCTGAGTTAGAGGGTGAGGGAGAAGAGGGCGGAGGGAAGGATCAAAGGGAGGTCAGCTCAAGCCCTGGGAAGTCACCCCTGCTGGTTTTCTCCTGCAGGACTGAGGCTAGGGGTAGACTAGGGTCGGTGGGGTCCAGGCTGCCTAGGGGCAGAGCCCAGCAGGAGAGCGTCAGCTCTGACTGCTGGACCACTGGGTGTAGGGGGCAAGCGTGGAAAACCGGAGTGGGACCTGGGTAGGGACAAGACGCTCATGACAAACTGCTGGGGACTTTTTGGTGCTTCATTTTCACTTCCCCAAAGTCCTCCTGCCGGGCCCAGGGGACTGGGTGGGGTTTTCCATGATGACTTCCTCTGCGGCTCCCCTCCTCTCCGGCTGGCTGGTTAGTCTGTCTCCTTCAAGCTCTTCCACTGCCCTGATGGGCCTGGACTTTCCTGGAACCTCACATGGGGCCTGTTCCAGGGGCCTCCTCTGGGGGGACACTGCTGGGGTTCTCTCCCTCAGAGACAGCAGGCACAGCTGCGTTCGCAGGGGCTTCTGGGGTGGGATCTGTGGATGGAGCAGAAGAGACTTCATCACAGGGACTGGGGGCTGAGCCGGCAGCGGGTCGGGGGGTCTGGGCCTTAGGGCTCACTTGTGGCTGGGCCTCATGGTTCACCTGTGGCTGAGCTGAGGAGTTCAGCTGAGGCTGGACCACAAAATCTGAATGTGGGGGCGCCACAGAATCCAACTGTGGCTGTGCTGTGGGGTCTGCCTGTGGCTGGGCCGTGGAGGTCACCTGGGGTTGGGCCCCTGCCATAGGCCCTGGCAAAGTCTGACCCCCAGAATCCACTTGGGTCTGTGGCTCGGCCGGTGTGAAGCTGGCGGGCCATTCTTCGCAGAGAGCTGCCGCGAAGGAGGAGATCACGGTGCGCAGCAGGGCCTGGAGGTCGGCACTGGCCAGGAGGCAGAGGAAGGGACTGAGGCAGCTGTTGAGCAGGACCAGGTAGTCGGAGTAGACCAGGGCTTCCCAGAGCAGGTAGCCCGGGTAGATGTCCCACAGGAAGGCCAGGTACAGCAGCTGTGCCAGGTGGTAAGGCAGCCGCAAGACCACGTAGGCTGACAAAATGGTCTTGGCCACACGAGCAAAGCCACGGCTGGCCGTGGGCCTCGGCTGGTGGCGGCAGCAGGTCTTGCAGGCGGCAGCCTGGGTGAGCACGTGGCAGACGAGCAGCAGGAGGAAAGGCAGGAATCCCCCCAGGATCTCGAGCATCCGCAGCGGCAGCTCCTCGCTGTCCCAGAAGTCCAGGCAGATGACCAGGTCATACCCCCAGACGGCGGCCTCCGGGAAGACCAGCCAGGGCACACTGAAGAGCGTGGCCAGCACCCAGACCCCGGCGCAGACCCAGAGGGGCAGGCGGGCCGGGCGGTGCCCCGGGTACCAGCGTGGGCACAGTGCCAGCAGGCAGCGGTCCAGGCTGAGGGCCGCCAGCAGGAAGAGGCCAGAGGAGTAGGACACGGCCCACAGGAAGTAGTACAAGCGGCAGGCCGCCGTCCCCAGCGGCCAGTGCCCTCCGCGCTGGATCTCCAGGATCTGGAAGGCCGCTGCCGCCAGGAACAAAAAATCCGAGAGGGCCAGGCTGAGCAGGAGCAGGGCAAGCCGCGTGCCCGCTCCCTGCCGAGCCTGCGAGCCAGCCAGCCACGCCATGAGCCCGTTGGCCGGCAGCCCCAGGAGCAGCAGGGCCACCAGGAAGACCGTGTCCCAGATGCCCTGGGGATAGTAGTCTTCATCGTCCAGCTCTGTGCGGGGCCCGAGGCCAGCGGCACCCAGGTCAGCTTCCATCGCAGTGTCCTTCTGAGGTCCCCAGTGTGCTGTCGGCTGCAGAGCGGGGGCCTGATGAACCAATGAAATCATGAGGGACTGAGTATGAGAGAGAGGGTGCTGTGTTCTCTCCAGGCACGTCACTGTCCCTCTCTGAGCCATCGTCATCACCTTTGGGGTAGTTAGCCTCTGCCAGAGCCTTTAAGTAGATGACGGCACCTAGTCTTCATACAATCCGTTTTACAGGTGAGGAGGGGAAGGTTCAGAGGATCGGTGACTTGCCCAAGGTCAGAGGCAGGACAGAGGCACCAGGCCTGGACCTCAGACCTAATCAGTTTGCCACACGGAATCCCAGCGTGCCCAAGTAGACTTGGCTTTCAAACATATTTTAAAAGCTGATGAATGTTTTCTTCAAATGAAATATTACAGTGGAGCTCCCAATGAACTAGAAGGGAGTGCTCAGATTAGAGGAGGGGGAGCACCCCTGGGGCTCCAGGGAGGACAGTTTGTGCAAACTGCTTGGTCACATTGCTGCAGGCCCCTTCCCATCTGGTATCCTGGGGTTCGAGGGTTTTAAGATTCCCAGTGGGGGGCGGCTCAGGGCCCCATGGGCTCGTAGCAGTCCCAGGAGCCTGGGCCAGAGAAGGCCCGTCCCCCCAGCAAGTGCGGTTCATGAATTCAGGGGGAGGTCTGCAACTCAGGCCAGGACCTGTCTTGGAAGCAGCTCGAGCCTCTTCATCATCCTCGACTCCCACCTGTGGCCCTGTCCACATTCTCACAGCTCAGGCAGAAAGCGGTCCTCTGAGGCCACCAGACAGGGAAGGAGTCGGGGGCTCAGCAGCGTGATGAGGATAGGGTGGCTGGGACCCAGAGGCCTGATGCCGCTCCCTCTCCGCCCCCACCTTCCCTCACGGGCCGAGGGAGTTTCCCTCCGAGGGTGGAGAGAGAGCTGGTGGCAGCGCTGAGTCAGGGGAGGAAGTAGATGCCCCCCAAAGGCTGGCTCCTGCCTGTGGCTGTGGCCCGCGACTCCAGTCCCTCGGCTCTCCTCTCCCCTAGGGCTCTTCCTCAGGCAGACCCTGCTCTGCAAGCTCCAGCCTCTACTGGATCAGAGCCCTGGGCTCCCCTGAGCCCCAACAGGTGAGGCCTGGCTTACCTGTGCGGTGCGGGCTGCTGGTGGAAAGAGTAGGGCGTGCCTGCCTGCACAGTGGTCCCGCCATCCGTGGGGCCCCACGCCGGCGGGGCCTGCTGCACGGTGCCCAGCGGCGCTAAGGCGGCGGGCCTGAAACCCAAGCTGAGAAGACATCAATCATTCATGGGGCTGCTCGCTGGGAAACCCTAACCCCGGCTTAGCAGAGCCGAGTGACCAGCCAGGCCACCCCATCCCTGACAGAGCCAGATGGCTAAAACTTTCTCACCCTGGCCCTGCTGCCTCCGGGCAGGCTCTGGGTCCCCCCCCAGCCCATGGTCCACCTCCTCTGATATCTCCCCCATGTCCCTCACTCTGGCATCAAGGCCTCTGCGATCTGGCCTCGCTTCCTCAATTTCACACACCCTCCACTCCGGCCACGATGTACCCCCCTGAGGGGCTGCAGTGGGCAACTCGTCCTATCCTTTCCCACCTCCCAGCTTTTGCCCACACTCTGCCTCCTGACATGACTTCCCTTGTCCTCTCTTAGCTAAGTCCGCCCACGTCATGCAACTGGAGTTGGGGACTGGAGTCGAGAACAAAGAGTTCCCGACTCTTCAGCAATATGGTCCCCGTTTTATAGATAAGGCGACTGAGAGGTGAAATTGCTGGGCCTCCCAGCTCATGAGTGGCAGAGCCAGAGTCCGATGCTCCTTGTGACCCCGTGTCCTGGCACCGCTGTGGCTGAGGACAGTTCTCTTCACGCATCTGGCTCTGCCCCCAGGCAGACGGCTGGGATTAGGGCCTGGGCTGCCTGCCTCACTTACCCTAATCCCCCTCAAGTCTCATCCCAGGCCATCAGCTCTCACCGTAGGGGTGCATAAGCAGCTTTATGGTTCCTGAGAACCAAGGGTGCTCCCTGGAACTGCATCTCTGAGCCCCGTTGTCCCTCCCCACATGGCCACAGACCAGGCGAGGGGGCAGCATGGCCCAGACCAGGCCCCTGGCCCTCAGAAGCCTCCTGTGGGGGTCGGGCCTTCCAGGAGTGGTGCTGAGGGCCTCCCCTTGACCAGGAAGAGGAGCAAGAAGGAGAGGGGGCTCCGAGGGTCACGGAAGGGTGCTGGCGGTTCTCAGGAACAGACCTCCATCCCAGGCCCCGAGGCCCCAGGGAGCAGCAAGAACCCCTCTGGGACTGGAGAAGGACAGGGGGAGACAGGTCCTGCAGCCTCTGAGCCAGCCTCCCGTCGCCAGTCCCACCGGCATCGCCCCATCCCCCAGCACGATGCTGCTCAGAAGACCTACGGGCCCCTACTCAATCGCATCTTCGGGAAGGTCAGGGGGGCCTGGGCAGGGGACGGGGGTGGGGGTGGAGTGGGGATCACACCTGTGCCCTTGGACTTAGCCCACCCTGTCCCTGGTACTCGGGCCTCCTGCCACCTCTGCTCCAGACCCAGGAGCCTGAGTTGTAGGGGCAGGGTTTCTGCGGTTTGGGGGAAGGGTTGGGGAGTGGGCAGGGCTAGACTTCAAACCCAGCATTCTGTGAGAGCTCTGGGCCCCAGGAGCGGGAAGGGGGGGTGGTCATCTCTTCTCTGGGGGCCTATGGGACTTCAGCTGCCTTCTCCTGCCCTGGTGGGACTGGCCCTGCCCAGGCCGCTGTGGCCCAGGGCTGGAGGAGGAAGGATGGGCCCCAGGGACATGCTGGACTGTGCCTCTGCAGGACCGCGAGCTGGGCCCTGAGGAGCTGGATGGTGAGTGGCCCTTGCAGGTGGCAGTGGCAGGTGGGAGGTATCCCTGAGCCGGACTGCCTGGGCCTGACGTCCCTCCCCTGCAGAGCTGCAGGCCGCCTTCCAGGAGTTTGACACTGACTGTGATGGATACATCGGCTACCGGGACCTGGGCGCCTGCATGCGGACTCTGGGCTACATGCCCACCGAGATGGAGCTCATCGAGGTTTCCCAGCACGTCAAGATGCGGAGTCAGTGGCTGACCCCCCACCACCCCAGGGCGGGGTGGGGCACGAGTCACCTGGCTTTGTGCCGAGGCTGGGCAGCCCTGGGCCTCTCTGAGTCTCATGGTTTGGGGGACGACGAGGGGGTGGCGGGAGGTGGCTCTGGGAGTCCGCGGGGGTGATGGTGGGAGTGTGCGACGGTTTCTAGGGCATTTTGACCGTCTGACATTAGCCTTGGCAGATGCAGGGGTCGTGAAACGTACCAGTGATCCAAGAGACCCTTGGGGCTCAGCTGAGGACCCCCTCTGTCCTGTGGTACATGTGGTAAAATGCTCCCTGCTGGTACTAGGCAGCTGGCTCTCTGTCTCTGTCTCTCTGACTCCCGAGGCCCCTGAAAAGAACCTCCGGAGGTTCAGTGAGGCCTAGTGTGACCAAACCCTGGCCTTTCCTTGTGGTTAAGTGTCGGATGGACAGGCACTTGTGATTATCATTAGCTAATTTGTCAAATATCAGATTCCCTTCATTCCAGGCCACCTGCCTTTGCTTTTTCTATGGTTTCTTACAATTGATGTGAACATTAAGTGCGATGCTTCTTTTCTTTCCCCCAAACCTGCTACTTGGCTCTTGGTGCTTTTTACAATTAGAATCAAGGAACTACATGGGCATGTTCCTTAAAGGGTATTTATTGCTGCCAATGGGGTCCCAGCACATAAGAGCCATGAACTGCAACCCCAATGGCACGCAAGAGTGGGTCCTCTCATCCTCGCCCCAGGATGAGGAAGGAGGGTTCATGAGTCACCCAAGGCCATGCCCCTTTGGCAGCAGAGACAGAGTTTGAACCTGGGGCTGCCTGGTTCCAAACCTTGGTCTCCTTCCCCCACACTTCGGTGCTTCACTGAGAGCACCCAAGCACCTTGCCCCGTCATCCCCATGGAGAACGGGGCTCCCGCCTCCTCCCCCCTCTCCCCAAGGGCTTGGATGCAGAGCTGGGGAGGGGCTGGTGCTTGTGACACTTGTGACGTCCCTCCTCGGGCCCAGCCCTCTCCATTGTGATGCTCTGCCTGGGTCCACAGTGGGTGGCCGCGTGGACTTCGAGGAGTTTGTGGAATTGATGAGCCCAAAGCTGAGGGAGGAGACGGCGCACATGTTGGGGGTGCGGGAGCTGCGCATCGCCTTCCGAGAGGTGTGGAGAGTGGTCGAGTCGGGTGCTGGGTGGGTGGCTGGACAGCAGACTTGCTGGTCTCCCATCCAGGCCAGAGAGACGGGGGCCTCAACCTCTGGAGGCCCACAGCCCTGCAAATGGTGGGGCTAGGGCCAGGGAGGGGTTGGAGGGGGTCCAGCTCACTCTCAGCTGTGGGATCCACCCAAGGAGACTTCCTGGAGCAGGGGGAGCCTGTGTCTCGGCCTGGGAGGAGGTGGAGGGTTTGGATGGGCGGAGGTGGGAGCATCTAGGCACAGGATGTGGCAAGATGAAGACATGTCCAGGCAGAGCCAGCTTTGGGTGGGAGGGGCTGAGCCCTGCTGGACCCTAGTTTGACAGGGACAGAGATGGACGGATCACAGTGGCAGAGCTGCGACAGGCAGCCCCGGCTCTGCTGGGGGAGCCACTGGTGGGTCCTGAGCTGGACGAGATGCTCCGAGACGTGGACCTCAATGGGGATGGCACCGTAGACTTTGATGGTGAGTCTCCTTCCCAGACAACCCCACCCCTCCAGCGCCCAGGGGGAGCCCAGCATTTCCTGCGATTCCTGACCAGGACTGGCCCAAGCCCAGCCCCTTCTTTCCTCCAGAGTTTGTGATGATGCTTCTCACCCACTGAGGTTCCAGAAGGGAGAATGTGTTGCCCCTCTGGCCCCAGGACAGCAGGGTTCATGCTGTACACCCTCCCCACGAAGCCCCCGAATGGAAGAGACCCAGCAGCTCCCAGGCTTCTTCAGAACCTTGACAACATCTGGCTGGAGAGTTGCCTTGTGATGTCACCCACCCACCTATATCCTCACCTTCCTCCCACCTGAGCTGCCTGGAGGAAACCTGCATCCAGTGGCCTAACATTCTCCAGTATGAGCAAGATTTGGATCTCTCCAGACCCTTGGGAGGTAGCAAGCTCCCTGGCGCTATAGCATTCAAAGACAGGGGGACAGAGTTGGGGGGATTCTGGTAACATGGCGAATGGGGAGGGTGGCTGGGTGCCTCCCACTACTTGTGTAAAAATGTTAAAAAGAAAAAAAAAGCTTAACTTGAAAGAAGGCCAGGGATAACCCCCGGTACTAAAGACAAAGCAAGAACTCGGAGCTGGGTGGGGGGAGAGAGGGGACACCATGGGGGCCTCAGCCATGGAGAGGTTCGGGAGCCTGGGCTCTGACACTTATGAGTGACAGAAGACCTGTGAGAGGCTGAGGAACAGAACATGAGCCCGAGTACCTTCCAGGGTCTCAAAGGGCTACCCTGGTCTTGAAAAGGGGATCAAAATATATTTCCACCTACTGGCCTGAGGAAATGGCAAGGGTACAGGTGTCCAGGGCCTTGAGTGGAAAAAGCTGCCCTAAGGAACCTGAAACTCAGGCTTGCACATTAGGCAGGAAGGCTGAAGAAATAGGGAGAAACTACTGGAAGGGCAGTCTTCAACCCAGGACGCAATGGACTTAAACAAACAACCCTGTCACTTCTGAAGATGAACTCATGATAAAAAATTACAAATCACGTAAGAAAACAAGTCACCATGGGGGGGACTAGGCAGATGCAACAAACAGGAGAATCAGCACCCCAGAATATAATAGGACAATCTGAAAGGGACCATAAAGTAAATGCAAACAAAAATGAGATAAAAGAAGGGAGAGAGGCCAATATGCAGTAGCAGGATAGTCTGAAACAGAACAGGAAGATTAAAAAGAAAGACCCAATAGAACTTCTAAAAATAAAGGATATAGCCATTGGAATGAAAAAAAAAAAAATCAAGGGATAAGTTAAACAGCAGATTAGACACAATTCAAGAGAAGATTAATGAACTGGAAGCTACATCTGAGAAATCACCCATAAGGTAGCACCGAGGGATAATATTACAGAGTGGTTAAAAGTCATTAGGAGCCTCCGAAGGAGAAATTACACAGAGTGGGCAGGAGGCAATACTCAAAGACATGATAGCTGAAACTTTTCCATAAAGGCTTCCACAAAGACAAGCACCCAGATCAAAGGTACCCACTAGAGCCTGAGAAGGAGAAATAAAAACAAATGCATATCTAGATGCATTCTGGTGGAACTGCAGAACACAAAAGGAAAACCCTATAAACAATCAACTTGAGACAAAAGTCAGATGACTTATCCAGGAACAGCAATTAGGCTCTGCGAAGACTTTTCGTTGGCTACAGTAAATGTCAGAAGACAATGAAATAAACTGTTCATCATGCAGAGGAGAAATGATTGTCAACCAAGAAGCCTATACCTCACTGAATCATTATTCAGGAATGAAGGCAAAAACACCTACTTTTTTCAGGAAACAAAGGCTGGGAAGAGTTTCCCACCCACATGCTCTCGTTGAAGGGATGGCTTCAGTAAGAAGGAAGTTCAGACCAGAACGAAGGCAGAGTATGTACTAAATTATGGTCAGGAAAGCGATCAGTAAACATATTGGTGGATCTAAAGAAGCATTAACTGTAAAAAAAAAAAAAAAGTTAATTTGGAGGATTTTAAAAATAAAGGGACTAAAATAATAGACGAAATAAAACGGAAGATGGGAGGGGATACTTTAGACATGCTGAAATCTTTTTCTCGTCTTTCCTAGAGGAGGATAGATTCACTGATCAGCTTTAGAATTTGTTAACCATTTAAAGGTAATCATTAATGTATAGAAAGAGAGATAGAATGCTTTGTTCAAGAGTCAAATCCATAGAGGGAAAGTGAAGAATTCTTTTTTTTTTTAAATTTTATTTATTTATTTAACAGAGAGAGAGAGCAGAGTGGCAGGCAGAGGGAGAGGGAGAAGCAGGCTTCCTGCTGAGCAGGGAGCCCGACGCGGGGATTGATCCCAGGACCCTGTGATCATGACCTGGGCCAAGGCAGACGCTTAACCGACTGAGCCACCCAGGTGCCCCAAAATTGAAGAATTCTCGATTGAACCAGTAGAAGGCTACAGAAGAGGGAAAAAAGGTAAAGAAAAACAAAGTCCATGAAAACATTAAAACAGAAGGTAGGAAGGGGTGCTCAGCAGCTCAGCCAGTTGAGCATCCAACTCTTGATCTCAGCTCAGGTTTTAATCTCAGGGTCATGAGGAGTTCAAGCCCCGAGTTGGGCTCCACGCTGGGCATGGAGCCTACTTTAAAAAAAAGACACACACACAAAAACAGAAGGTAGGGACAATCCTTAAAAAATAAGAATTCCAATAATTATGAGTAGATTAAGTTTTTGGTTAAAGTGTCTCATACCAGAGGAAAGTTCCAGTATGAGACTGGTTTTCCTGTAACTGACAGAGATCCCAAATAACAATGCTTTAAAAGGACAGAAGTTTATTAAGTGAAATCCAGCTGTATGGTCTTCAGGGACCCAAGCTCCTGTTAGCCACCCTGCCATTCCTGGGGTATGCCCAAGTTTGTTCATTTTCCAGGTGGCAGGTTTGGAGGAAGGAACAAAGGACAAAGGCGGACAAAGGATGTGAACCACTCATACCCCATTAGGTAGGGCTCCTCACCTGGTACACGTAGCTGCAAAGGATGCTGGGAAATGCGGTCTTTATTTGGGGCGGCCACATGCCCAGCTAAAGACCAGAGGTCCTTCTACTGTAAGGGCAGAGAGCAGACACCAAAGGGCAGATACTAGGCTCTTCCCCACAGCTGAGTGCAGGATCTAAGAGCATAACAAGAATCGAAAGGCTGAAAGTGATGACTTGGAAAACAGATTTACTAGGAGAAAATGAACCAAAGGAAGCTCATATAAATACAGGCTTAGCAGACAGAAATGGGCTACGAGGCAAAAAGCATTAGGGATAAAATGAATCACAATTCACTGAGGAAATCTAATGTTCCTCGTCTGGACACAACTAACGATATATTTTTCTTTTTTCTTTTTTTAAAAAATTATTTATTTGAGAGAGAGAGAGTGAGAGAGAGAGCACGAGAGGGGGGAGGGTCCGAGGGAGAAGCAGACTCCCCGCTGAGCAGGGAGCCCGATGCGGGGCTCGATCCCTGGACTCCAGGATCATGATCTGAGCTGAAGGCAGTCGCTCAACCAACTGAGCCATCCAGGCGCCCCTCGATGTATTTTTCAATGAAGAAAGAAGTTACATTTAGAGTTTAGATATTCATTATTCCCTGAGGATAGTGTTAGTGTCAATCCAGTTTGGATTACATAAATTAACCAGCAAAAATCAAGCACATTGGGGCGCCTGGGTGGCTCAGTTGGTTAAGCGACTGCCTTCAGCTCAGGTCATGATCCTGGAGTCCCGGGATCGAGTCCCGCATCGGGCTCCCTGCTCGGCAGGGAGTCTGCTTCTCCCTCTGACCCTTCCCCCTCTCATGCTCTCTATCTCATTCTCTCTCAAATAAATAAATAAAATCTATAAAAAAAAAAAATCAAGCACATTGGTCATGTTGAAACTTTAAATGTGATTCAGTGTTCTGTCAATGTGTTCACATAGACCAGGGATTGGTCAACTTTTTCTGTAAGAGGCCAGACTGTAGATTTTAGGCTTGGAGGACCATATGGTTTCTGTCATGACTGCTCAGCTCTGTATCCCCAAGCAGCCATGGCCAACACAGAAACCCATAGGTGTGGCTGGGCTGGAAATTTAGTAATTAATTGACTAAGCTTGATTCACTGACACTGAACTTTGAATTTTATCAACTTTTATGTGTCATGAAATTGTATTATTCTTTTACTTTCCCCCCCAACCATTACTAAAATGTAAAAACCACTTTTAGCTTGGGGACCATATTGTGTCTGTGGACTCTCACTTGCTGACACCTGCTGTAGTCTTATAATACGGAGACTCACAACCTCCGCAATAACTTCCTGTTTAGTTAAGATCGTGGAACGACAAAAAGTTATGAGCATAGTAGCAACTCTGTATTAATCGCCTATTTGCTCACAATGAATGGTTTCCATAATTTTCCTTTTTCCCTGTGTTTGTTCTGATTATATTCATTGAAATGTAATTTTATGTCTGATTAGTCTGGTAATACAGATTGTGGGCTTATATTCTATCTGTCTTTTTTTATTTCACTTTCCCAGGTTTTATTTTATCTTGCCAGAGTACTGGTCCATGATGGATTAGAAATGAAAACTGGCCCTTTACCAGAGCTAGTTTGAGAACCACGGATTTAGGAATTCCTGCATCCAACTGGTGCCCTTAAAAGTGCCTTGACTGGGGGCTGAGGGGCTGAGGGTGGGAAGTCTGGGTGGGCCAGGAGAGCAGGTCTGGGGGTTAATTCTTTCAACAAAGTCACAGAAACCTATAGATATTGTTTTGGCTGCTGCAGGCACAGTGGGGGCCAGGGCGCATCTCTTCTCAACCGCACTCATGGTGTACTGTAAACATCTAAGTATATGAACAGGATCTACCTCAGCCCATAGTCCTTCAGCCAGCCCCTTGGGTGGTCAGCTGGGGACACCCGTGCTCTGTATCGTCTCCTCTCCCTCCCCCACCCAGGTGTCAGGGAAGCCTTGGGTTATGTTCCTAACTCTGCCCTTACGTGAATCAGTCTCTCTGGACCTTGGTTTCGTCATCTGTAAAATAGGGCAAAGGTGGTAATTACCAGAAATCACCTGTGTTAAGTGCTTAGCACAGGACCTGCTGCCTTCTAAGAGCTTGATAAATGGTAGCTATTAGGATTATAGATTTCAGGGTTCTCGAAGATTCTATTTCCTGGCTCTCAAGATTCTGAGATGCTTGGGTTTTCCCAAAGTCTGAGATGGTGTGTTTCCAATGTTCTGTGGTTCTAAGAGTCTTCGATCATTGAGGTTCTGTGATATGGGCCCTGTTTCCCATTAGTCTTTGCCCCTACTTCTCCCAATCCCAGGACTTGGGAAGTAGGCCAGTGGGCGGAGAGGGCTGGGCTGCAGCCTCGTCATGGCCCACATTCAGAGCTGGCTGTGGCAGTCCAGGGCCCCAGAGCCAGGCTGCAACCAGGATACCAGCCTCCAGGCCCCAGGCCTGCGTCATCTGAGTGCCCTTGGCCAGGGCCTCCAGGTAGAGAATGGGCAGGGCCAACTCTGCTAAGGGCTGAGGGAGATGGGAGGCTGGAAGGACCTCCAAAAGGCTTGCAGGACAGAGTCCCAAGCCCAGCTCTGCCCCAAAAGCGCAGGAGCAAGTCTTAGGAGCATCAGGACTGTCACAGGTACAATGAGAAAATGGGTGGTCCTGGAGCCCCTCAGCTCCAGCAGCCCTTTCCTCAGTTTTTGCGGGAGGGGGGCTGTGGCCAGGTTGGTGGGCTGGGCAGGGCTGGTGGGAAAGAAAGATCAGTGGTCTCTTCTGGAATGAAGTACATTCTTTTATTAGCACAAAACACCACCCACCCAGCAGCCCCAGGGCCCGAGAATAAGTTAAGGCACAGAACAGGCCAGGGGCGACTTTTCCAGGCCTGGGTATTGGGCAAACTTCCTGAGCAAACTTCCGAGGGGGTTGGGGGCTCCCGGGTCCCGGAGTTCTTCCCTGGAGATGAGGGAACCAGAGCGGGGCGGACCCGAGGAACACCCCCTGGGGCCGCTTGGAGACGAGGCTGGTTCCCGGCCGCCCGCGCGGCTCACTTCTCGAAGTAGGGCAGGTAAAAGAACTGGAAGCCCCGGTGGCCCTTGACCGCGCAGTAGATGAAGATCACGTGGTAGACTGCGGGGCGGGGCCGGTCAGCGCCGAGGCCCCGCCCCGCCCCGCCCCGCCCCGCCCCGCAGCCCTTTCGCACCTCCGGGAACCAACAACAGGAAGCCGGGCACGAAGAAGATGGCGCTGGAGACACCTGCAGGAGGAGGGGCCGAGTCAAGGATGGGGGGCACGGGGCGGGGCTCAGGGGTCCCTGCCTGGGCTAGTCTCACTGTCCCCGGTAGAAGGGACCGTTTCCTGCTAGGAGGGTGGAAGCAAACTTCCGAGGAGGCTGGGGGCTCGCGGGCCCCCGAGTTCTTCCCTTGAGGGGACCCCCGCTGCCAGCGGAGGTAGGAGGGGACGCTCACCTGGCGAGGGGGCCACCTCCAGTCCCACGGCGATCAGGATCAGCACTGCACACAGATGGAGCCGCGAGGGTGAGGGCGAGGAGGGGGCAGGCGCTGGGGGCAGGGCGGGGACCTCCACCCACAACCCCCAGCAAGGCTTAGGCCCTAGGAAGAGTCCCCCACCTGAGCTGAAGGTTCCCTAGCCAGAGACCCTTCCTGGGAAGCTCAGCAAGCTCTGTGTTTTCAGAGCAGGGCACCCGGCAGGCCCTGGGAAATAATCCGAAACCAGATTTGTCTCTGCTCCTTGATGTGGCCTTTCAGTCAATCAACAAATATTTACAGAACACCTGCTGTGTGCCTGGTACTGAGAATCCCACAGGGAAAGGCAAATGAGGTCCCTGCTCTCTAGTGGCACAACCAACAAGAACCTCCAAGCTACAACCTCGGTGATCAGGCTGTGGAAAGGCCAGATCAGGCAGCATGGGAGCCTGGGGCATCAGGGAGGGGCTTCTTGGAGGCAGTGGCGATGAAACTGAGCAGGGGTAGCAGTACCCAGAGCAGGTAACATTTAGTTACCACTTAGCAGGTGCTGCCAGGCACCCGGCTGAGCTTGTTACCTGCACTGCTTTATTATCAATGTGACTGAATGAAACAGGTATGATCATCCCCATTTCACAGAAGATGAAACTGAGGCACAGAGAGCTGCATTCAGAAGGAGGAGGTGATCTGACTCGAGGCTTTGCTGTGGGCATCATGTGGGCAGAAAAGGAGAGGAGTGCTCCAGACAGAGGGAGCAGCATGGCAAAGGCCCAGCGTCTGGAGGGAACTTGGGGCTTTCTAGGAGCTTCCAACTTTTGGCAAGAGTGGAGAGGCAAGAGCCCAGGCTTGAGGTGTTTGGCAGGGCCTGGAGACCCGGTGAGGGATGTGGACTTTGGCTGAGGACAGCGAGTGTTGGGGAAGTCATGGCTGGATCAACTTTTCAGACCCAGAGAGAGTCCTGGGTCCCCAGTTACAAGATGGGATTGGGGGGGAGGTGGGGGACCCGGGCTCTGCAGCAAGGGGGGCCATATAGCACAGAGGCTTGAGGGGCCACCATGGACTGCTATGGGATTTGTGCCCTGCACAGAGCACCCCAAAAAGGGTACGGATTGGGGCTGATACACTACCTGCCACCTTGGATTAGGGCTGGGGGCCCTGCCCACTCAGAGGAGGCGTCTTCCTCCAAAGGCCTTTTATAGGTCTACGGCGGCCTCCAGGCCTGGTACTGTCCTTGATGTGGGTTTAAATCCCAGCTCAGCTACTTCCCAGCTGAGGTCTGAGCAAGTCCCTTTACCTGCCCGAGGCTCTGTCCTTACTTCTGAACCAGGATGGTAATAATGCTTGGCCTCACGGGTACTGAGAGAATGAAAGGGGGTAAGGCAGGTGGCCAGTGTGACCAGTGCCCAGCTTGTAGTGGCTGCTGGACAAGCGATGGCCCCTTTCCCCCATGCACCCCTGCACACAGACACCCAGAGCTGAGGCAGGGCTGCTGCTCAGCTTTCTGGCCAGGGGTCTCTGATCATCCCGGAGCAGGGAGAGCAGCTGCCACAGCCGGGCTGTCCTTATGGGTCCCTCTTGATCCCAACCCTGTCCTTTCTGGGGATCCTGAGGCCTCAGCCCCATAGAATGAGTCCAAAAACATCTGGCTGCGAGATCTGCCTGCTCTGGGCTTCACTTTCCCCATCTGGGCAATGGATGTGCACAGCGCGGGGCGGGGAGAGGTCCTCATCTGCGCTCAGACTCCAGAGAAGGGGAAATGACAGGTGCTCTGGGGGTAGGGCTGGCAGGGATATCTCTGAGCACCTGTCCCTACACAGGTTCTGGGTCATGGCCCTGCCTCCCTCTTGCTGTGTGACCTCCGTAAGGCAGGAAAATAAGCCTCCCCTGCACCTGGCTCGAAGTAGACACAGAATAAATGGTGGAGCTGTTACTCTTCTGCTCCCTGATGGATTACATGGGCTTAGGGGGAAAAAAAAAAAGAAGAAGAAAGAAGAAAGAAAAGTTTGGAGCACCGAACCAAGTTCCATTTTCAATTACGTGTAATTTCCTGGCTGTGTGACCAGGAGACTGGGCCCACTCCTCCCAAGGCCTCAGTTTCTTCACCTGTAAAATGGGCGTGGGGTGATGGCAGCCAGCTGCCTGCTCAGGATGCAGGGAGGCTCAGTGTGCCAAGGGGGATGCTGAGCCGGCACAAAGGGACACCAGACCCCTCCTGGGAGTAGGCAGGGGACCCTCAGGGCACTCACCCAGCCCCAGCAGCAGGAGCAGGAAGGAGGCCAGCACTACCCGGCGGTTCTTCTGGATCAAAGGGTGTTGAGTCCAGCTGGGTGGCGGGACAGCAGGATGGGTGTGAGAGGTGACAGGAGCCCAACTCCCTCCTGTTACCCTTCCCCACCCAGAGGACTGAGGGAGAAAGCCCAGGCCGCCTGTTCTGGGGCACAGAGCACAGGGGGCTTAAGCAGGGCAGGGTCTCACCTGCAGCAGGCATGGTAGGAGCGCTGGGTGCTATTGCTGATGGTGCTGAAGGACCACTGGGAGCTGCGGATGGACGTTCGGCTGGAATCCCTACAGGCCAGGTGGGCCCAGTGAGAGGCAGAGGAAGCAAGGAAGGGGGGGTCATGATGACGTGGTGGGGGATGGTGCAGGGACTAGGGCTGGGTGTTCCTGCGGGATGAGGGCACTGAGAGGGGACAGGGTGACAAGGAATTCAAGGGCTGGGGGGTCTCTGCAGGACTGAGGGTGGAGAAAGGCTGAGGATTCAAGCTAGGGATTCCTGCAGGACAGGTGACCTGTGGGGAGGTAGGGGCCAGACCAGGCTGGGGGGTTTCTTCAGGATAAAGAGCCTGGTAGGGGTGGGTAAGTGTGCCTGGCCCTGGGGTAGGGTGACGCTGCAGGACAGGGGAACCCATGAGGGGAGTGGGGATCAGGCTAGGAATCCTTGTAGGACAGGATGTGAAAGAGCTGACTGTTGTGAGGTGGAAGACTGGCCAGGGACCTGGGGGACAGGAGCCAGAAGCATAGG